AAGAACCCATGCCATCCTTACACTCCCAGGCAAAGCTCAGAGAGCACAGCTTGCACACCAGCCCAAGCAGATCCAGCCATCCATCCCATTCCTCTGATCCAAACTCAATATCAAGCATATGGAGGATGTACCTACCAACCTTTATGCATGATATGAAATCAATCAAGCTTGGACAACAACAGTAACAAAAAGCAAACTTCGTTCATTTTTAACAAGTTTTTTGGACATGAATATTTGTGGGTTCTTTGGAATAATTTGTTTTCAGTTATAATATGTAAAATGTTTAATCATGTAAGAGAAATGGGAAACATGTTTTTGCTTGTATTCATTGTAATAATTCACATGAAAAATAGAATGCAACCACTGTTGCAATCCAAACAAACCTGGTCCCGTCTCTCACCCACCTGCACATGGCAGGTGTATGTAACCTGGCTCTTTAAAAGAAAAACCTCGCCGGGCGTTGGTGGCGCACGCCTTTAATCCCAGCACTCGGGAGGCAGAGGCAGGAGGATCTTTGTGAGTTCGAGGCCAGCCTGGTCTACAGAGCGAGTTCCAGGACAGCCTCCAAAGCCACAGAGAAACCCTGTCTCGAAAAACCAAAAAAAAAAAAAGAAAAGAAAAGAAAAACCTCAACCACGTCCACCCTCTTTCCCATTGTTCCCCTGAAGGAAAAGACAGGACTTTTCCTGTCTCCCTCTTCTCTTCTGTCCTGTCTCTGTCTCTGTCTCTTTGCCTCTTTTCTCTTTCATTCCTCCTCCCTTCCCTTTCTAGTAAAACTTCTTAGTTAAGCTCTGTCTGCCTGCTATTTTTGTCCCTCACCTGCCATGGAATCTGCCAAGGTCCTGCATGTGCTTAATTCCTAACAACCACATTATAATTTTTATATTGCGTGACAGATTTTGCTGGCATATATAAGATGTAAGGGAAAAAGTAAAGATAGAAGGAAAGAGACAGAAGGAAGACAATAGGACAGTTGTAAAAAGAAACATCAGGAAAGAGGTAAAGAAAGAAATAAAGAGGACCAAGAGACTCTAAAGGAGAGAGAGAGAGAGAGAGAGAGAGAGAGAGAGAGAGTTTCCCTTTTTTCTGGCCCCAAAGAATTAAGTTTTACTCCCTCAGATAAAAAGGTCAATTAAGTGATTAGTCTGCTGACTCAATGTCTCCCCTTCAACACTTGAACTGCTGAAAGTTAGTCTTTACAGCAGCAGATGATAACAGACTAAACTACTGAACCTGTAAACTGCCCCAATTAAATGTTTTCCTTTATAAGAGTTGATGTGGTCATGGTGTCCCTTCACAGCAATAAAAACCCTAAGACAGAAGTTAGTACCAGGGACTGGGGTATTGTGATGGGCCTGACCATGCTTTCATTTGGAGGAATGTGGACTTTGGATTAGAAAAGCAGTTGAATGCTTTGAGTAGAGTTTAATGGGCCATCCTAGTAGGAACATGGCAGACAATGGTGATTGAACTTGCAGAGGCCTGCTGTGCCAGCCCTAGCAAGTACAAGAACTTAGCAGTTTTGGCCACATGGTTCCAGCTTTAGAGTCAAGAATAGAAGAGTGGGTTACAGTCCCTCCCCGACTAAGGAAAGCTACTGAGGCCAGGCATGCTTCTGGGACGTCCCTGCAAGGAAGGCTAGAGAGGTCATTGTGTGAAGCTGTGAAGATGAAATCTGGATTGCCTTAGAAACTCCAAAATGTTGGAGGTGCCCGAGGCATGGTTTACCTGTCAAGGAATGCAATTAACTGGAAGTGGAACCAGCCCAATAGAATAAAGTGTGTTGCAGTCCATAGAACTAAAAGGAGTCAAAGATCTGAAGAGTATGTTGACATCAGACATGGAGAAGCAGTTTGGAGTTTGCCCAGCTGGTTTTCAGTCTTGCTTTGGTCCAGTATTTCCTCACTATTCCTTCCCTTTTGGAATGGTAATGTATACCCTGTACCACTGAATGTCAAGAGTATGTGATCTACTTTTTTATTCTGATTTTACAGGAGATTACAGTTAAGAGATTGCATGAATCTCAGAAGGGACTTTGAACTTTGAAAATTTAAACACTATTTAGACTGTTATAGACTGTGGGTACTTTTGAAGTTGGACTAAATGCATTTGCATTATGATATGGCTGCAAGTCTATGGGAGCCAGGGTGTGGGATTTTGTGTTTTGAATAAAAATGGCCATCATAGTCCTATAGGGAGTGGTGCTGTTGGAGGATGTTGCCTTGTTGGAATAGGCGTGGCTTTTTTGGAGGAAGTATGTAATTAGGGAGCACTCTTTGAGACCTCAAATGCTCAATTCAGGTCTAGTGCAACAGTCACTTCCTGTTGCCTGACAAGAACCACCAAAAAATGTTTAACTGAACTGGAACTCAGATATACTATCTGGACACTTTGGGTTTCTTATGTCCTTAAGCCAAAAGGCTAAGAAAGGAATAACAGTGTTAGGAGAGGTGATTGATGCAGACTACTATGGGAAACTGATTGCTTCTCCACAATGGAGAAAGATAGATTATGTCAGGAGTACAGGAGATCCTTTAGGGTCTCTTGGTGCTACCATGTGAAGAAAGTCAATGGGAAACCAAGTTTAAATCAGGCAGGATGACAAAAGGCACAGACCTTGGAATGAGAGTATGGGCCATTCCTCCAGAAAAGTCAAGACCCACTGATGTGCTTGCTGAGGGTGGGTGAAATACAACAGGGATTATAGAGGAACACACTCATAAATATCAGCTAAGACCATGGAATCCAAAAATGAGGTTTATAATTGTCATGAGTGTTTATGTCCTGTTTTTAAAGACTATGTTTGTGCATCCGTGCATGTATACTAAGCAGGTATTTGTGTTTTCTTTCCTCTACTTTATCATGAAATATAATAGTTATTAGATAGTATTGGGGATAATATGTTTTATATATACATATAATAATATTACTATTATATTTGAAAGCAAAAATAAGCATTCCTCAAAGGATTTTGCTAACTATTATAAAATGTATAATACATTTTCATCTGTATACATGTTTGATATAACATGGGTTATATCACATTAGGAAGAGTTATGACCTGTTGTTGCTTTCATTTTAAAAACTAATTTTAAAATTGACATGAGGAGACATGACTGTGTGTCAAGTTGACAAGGACTAAATTTGTGATGGCTAATCTTGGCTATCTATCTGACTACATCTGGAAGTAGGAAGACCCACTCTAAAATGTGGACAGAAGTTTCTGTCCCACCTTGTCCCACTGCTGTTTAGTCCCAAATAAACACACAGAGGCGTTTATTAATTACAAACTGTTTGACTGATGGCTTAGGCTTCTTATTGGCTAACTCGCTCTTTATTATTAACCTTTTTCTACTGATCTATGTATCTCCATGTGGTCTTGGCTTACAAGAGAATGCCTGGATGTCCTACCTTCCTGGTAGCTACATGTTGTCTCCTGGACTCCACTTACTATCTCTCTGTGTCCCTGTTTGGGTTCCCACCTGGATAAATCCTTCCTGTCTATTGGCTTAAACATCTTTATTCATCAACCAATAAGAGAAACATATATTCACAGAGTACAGAAGCACATCCCCATCATCTCCTCTTTTCTGTCTAAATAAAAATGAGAGTTTTAACTTTAACATAGTAAAACTATATATAGCAAAACAGTTATCAAGAAAGAACTATAGTTAACAATATTTAATCCACTAACATTTGGCAAAATTTAAAGAAAATATTCTATCATCTATGCTATCTTTGTGAGTCTAAAATTTTATGTGTAACTTATCTTTTATCATAACCAAGAAAAACCATAACTATCGGACTTCAACTCCATCAAAGACCCAAGAAGGATAATACATTTATACACTAGAATTGACAGCAGCATCTCACTGCCCGGACAGTCACCCAAAGTTTATCTGTAACTTTGGGGCATCCATCTTCAGCCCATAGCCCATAGTGTCTGGCAGACTTTTTAATGAAATGGGAAACTTGTATTGGCAAAGTTCATCAGTTTCTTTCTTCTGTAAAGCAGGAACCCTGAAGGACCATCCTGTCTCTTGGCAAGTTCAGCACTCACTTTGTTTTACAGCCTGCTTGTCCAGTTTGGACATTGTGCTTACAGCAGTTGAGGCCAGGACAGTTGTTTTTCCAATAGACCAGTTTTGCCACATTGAAGGCAAACCCCATAATGAGTTTCTTGGAGGCCCATTTTCATTTCTGATATAATTGGTGTTGCCAGGAGCAGTTGTGTCTCATTGTCATGGAAAGCCCTAATAAACCATTTTAGATGCCATATTCTGTAGGTCTTTGAAAGGTTTTGGAGAATACCTATCCATTTAAAATATATCTCCGTATACGTAGAAAACCGAACTAATGTGACTGTAAGTTTTGACTATTTTGGATTATTACGATTATTCTGTATTTTAACTATACATTACATTTTAAGTGAGCTTTATAAGCACAATACCAAAACAAGAGTAGAAATACACATATAACAAAATTGACCTTAAATTTGTATCAATAAACCAAAATCCATACCATTGCAAAGTATTCATTTCTATATCATATTCCTTTTTTTCCTTTGGAAAGATAATCAACCCTGCTTAAATGAAAACAAACATTTATAAACAATATTTTGGAATTTTGGTGTAGTTCTCTCCGAATAACTTCCTGCTGTTTGGGGAATGCTGTCAGTCCCAATGGGATCCTGAGAAAACCCAGGACCCTGACCAAATCCTGACTGTAGTAGTTTGTGAGGTGGCATCATCTCAGCCTTTTGGATGTTGGCTGTCCTGGGCCATTGTTTCAGGGGGTCCTGCTTGATCAAACCATAGCCTAGAAGGAATCCATAGGTTCCTATCCTCTGTAGAAACAAAAGCAGAACCTCTTTTTCTAAGTAACATATCCTTGGAGTCAAATTTTGAAGTCACCATACCTTTAAAATATGTACGTTGGTTTAGCATAGCAGTACCCAGAATCAAATGTCTCTCTGCAGCCAAAAAATTAAAAAAACTTAATAATGTACATAATCCAGATGCTTTATTTTCCATCTTTACATGGCTTATATTAATTTATTTCTTTTTAAGGACCTATTATTTTTTTAATCTGCAACTGTCTTTTTCCTTTTTCTCTCTCTCTTTCAAACTTATGTACATCTTTAAACACCTCGTGACCTGTTTAGAAATCTTTTTTGTCTGAATCTGTCCTTATTGTGTATCTAAAAATCCTTTTATGACCAACAGTGTTTTTAAAATGTTAAGCAGGCATGGCTAGGGCTAAAGCAGCTGCCTGCCTGTTTGGATTTCAAACATGGCAGGGCAACAACAAGCATTAGGCTCCCTTCCCCAATGCTGCTATCAGGTAGCATGCAGCCAGCCCAGAAACTTTTTTTCTGAGTAAAAGCTAATCTTCTATGCAGTGCATTGCAACTAGAAGACTCTGGTGGCATGAATCTGCCATGTTGTGCTCAAGCCAGAATGCCATGATGTCTGTGTACCGGGACCAGCATGAGAGTCAGAATCAGGAGGCTGTTCTTGGCCCCATTTATGCATTACAATATTCCCCCTCTCTTTTCCTAAGCTCTTTTAAGTCTTATGTGGAAACTGGAGAGCCCCACATTGCGCTGCCAGAATGTAAAAGGACATTTTTTCCATCTATCTCAGCCCCACTGGACTGGATTTCTCCCCACCCATTGGGTCCTGCAGCCAATTAAGAAATAACTGTTCAGAGACTTAATACATACTCATAACTATTTGCCCATTGACTTAGGCTTCTTACTCGCTGGCTCTCTCTTGCTTATTAACCCATTTCTATTAATTTGTGTATTTTTACGTGGCTGTTGCTAACCCTGGGATCTTGCCTCCCTGGCTACATGGCATCTGTCTTTTGTCTTTCTTTCCCTGCCTCTTTGTTTGGAATTCCTGTCTAGCCAAATTTTGACTATCCATTGGTCAAAACAGCTTTATATATCAACCAGTAAGAGAAATATATATTCACAGCATACAGAAGGGCATCCCTCATCATTAGTCTCTATTAATTATGAATCAAGAATCATGAAGAAAAAGTTCATTGTTTTCATGTAAAAAATCTAAGTAATATGAAATATGTTGTTCTTTTTGATAACTAAAAACATCTAAATGGAAAGGGAGGTAAGGACCATATCAGACACACATGATTCAAATAAACACAGATGGTAAGAAAATCCATTGAAATTATTTTAAATGAAAGTATTAATGTTAAAATGAATTTCTCTAGGCAAACACAGGTAGTACTAATTAAAATCAATTATTTTGGTTTATAATTTGTAAATGCCTGCCACTTTTGCACATTATGTTGATTCAATGTATCTCAAATATTCATTTGAATTGTTAAAATTTTCCAACATAAGCTAGAAAATACTCTTAAATATCTTCCTTAGTCTTTGATAAGATGAGCAAAAATATTCAGAATTGATATGCTGTTTTAATTTTAATCATTAATCACTCAATTGGTTTTAGTAGATGTTAGTGAATAAGAGAGGTCTCCCACATTCTGGAAATACTGGAATTTTTTTCTAAACACCATTATTCCCATTTCATTTGATTATAAATTAGATTCTCTGGTATCCCAATGACTGGTGCCTTTGACGGATTGTGTAGACAGCCAGACCCACAACACAGAGGACGACCACGATGGCCCCGATCACAGGAAGCACAACTGTGTAGTCAGACAAACACTCATCCACTACAAAAGAAAACAAATACAATAGAGCAGGTAAGATTTGGTGATGATGGGGGGAAGCTGTGGCAAGGATGTAAAATAGATGAATAATATGTATGTATATATATATATATATATATATATTTATGTATATATATATATATATTTTTTCCCCTCTGGTATCTATTGTCATAATTCTAAATATAAAAAGTGAATCATGGAATTTCTTAAATGATTAGTTGTATAATTTCTGCTGTAGTAGATAAGAATTTGTAGTAATAACAATGTTCTCATAAACTAATAACAAATACTATAACCCTGTGTGATATGAGTGAAATTGGCCGCCATACGCTCATTGGAATTGGCACTATTAGGAGATGTAGCCTTATGGGAATAAGTGTGGTCTTGGTGGAGGAAGTGTGTGACTAGGGGTGGGCTTTGGAACCTATGGATCTGGATATAGAACTCTCAGCAACCTCTCTAGTAACCCATCTTTCTGAATGCCACTGTGCTTCCCACAATGACAATAATGGACTAAAACTCGGATACATAAGCCAGTCCTACCTCCAGCTATGCTCTCCTTTTTATCTACAATAAACCTTCTCTACCATACATAGAAGCAATCATATACTCCTTTATTGTTTCTCTTTTTCATTCAACTAAGAGAGAAATTGGTACCACGAAATGGACTATTGTGACAGACCTAGGCCACAGGTTGTTTTGGGGGAGGACTGTAGAAGAAGTTTGGAACTTTGTGCTAGAAAAGTCACTGATGTTCAGAGCTTAATAGGATGCTCTGGGAACTTAGAAGATAATCAGAAAGCAATACAGACAACAGAAGCCTGGCTTGGGAAGTTTCAGAGGGAAGCAAAGACATTATGTAAAAAATTGAATTAAAAATCTGTAGTTTTGGTCAGCTGGAGATGAAAAATTTAACTGATTAACAAGAAAACATAATGACTAAAGTAAAAACTTTCCTGGGATAATCTGTAGTAGTCTAAAGAATCATCTGTGATTAAAAAAAGAGATGAGAATCATTCAGGTTAAAAATCTTTTGGGAGTATTTACTCAGGGTCAGCACACAGATTTGTGGTTCAGAAGGAGTGGAGGCTGCTCCTTGTGCTGGCAGCTAAATTGGAAACATAAGAGTCTTCCAGGTGTAAAAGTTTGTGGGAGTAACTAACCAATGTCTGATTCATTTAAGACCCACTCTGTGATATGGAACCCATCCCTAACACTGCTCAGGTGCCAAGAACCTTAGACTAGATGAAACCAAATACTAGTGTTCTGCTAAAGGAATGTGGAAATAAAATGACTCCTAGCAACACTCTGCTATACTCATAGGTCAGTGACTTTCTCAGTCATCATCAGAGAAGCTTCCCCCTGCAATAGACAGGAACACACACAGAGACTTACAAGCAGACAATATGCAGAGAGGGACCTTGAAATATACTACATGGGATGTCTCCATCAAATCCCTCCCCTCGGGGCTCAGAGAACTACATAGGGAAAGGGAGATGGAAAGACTGTAAGAGCCAGAGGAGATGAATGACTCTAAGGAAACAGCGTCTTCCACACACAACAGGATTGATACACATATGAACCCACAGAGGCAGCACACACAGGTCCAAGCCAGATGGGGTCCCAGCACTGAGAGAGGAAGAAGACACAGCCTCCTCCTCCAAGAAACTATCTCTAATTGCTTGTAAAGGAAAAATGAGGTTTCTCTAATGGAGGCTCACTGGATATACAAACCACACTTACAGGCAGGCCTCATGCCCAGCAGTAGACAGCCAACACAAAATGAACTCAGTGGCATTGTAGAGGTTTTGTTTTTTGTTATTCCTCACCTTACAGGTCTTTTGTGTATGTATTATGGCTTCTGATTTTGTGGTTTGTGTTTTTAGAGATTTTTATATGTGCAAATGTATGGATCTCTGCATCTATATATGATTCTTGTGCTTTTTCTTTAACACTTTTTCTTCTGTTTTTGCTTTGTCCTATCCCAGTGTATTTGTCTTTATTTTATCTAATTTTAATTTATTATTACTATTTTTAGATACCTATTTGTTTTCTAATGCAAGAGAGAAAAGGGGGTATGGAATTGGGTGGGAGAGGAGATGGGGAGTGTCTGAGAGGATTTTGAAGAGGAGAAAAAGAAATCAAATAATAGTGTATGAAAAATATTTTCAATAGAAAAATTGTAACTAAAGAAAAGGATTCTCCAGGTGGTGTTTTTGAAGACATGAAGGAGTCAAGGACAGCAGCCTAGGATTGGCACCACATGGCAAGGTCTGAGTCCCTGAAGAGAACTCAGCAGAGGCTGCTGGTGACGGCGCAGTCCAGCTGCAGTGCATACCTCAACACATTAGTGATGCTTGGATGACCACCCAGGACAACAGCATCTGTGCAGTGGAGCCAGCCTGATCCAGCGAGACATGCTATGTGTGCCTTGGCACAACCGCTGGAGTGCAGACGATGGTGCATTTAGACATTTGACACTGAGCTTCACACTCTTGGACTTTTGATCTGATCGTGACTCTGCCCTGGCTCTTCCCTCCTGGACTAATCAAGTATATAACTTATTTTTTCATTTTAGTGGAGCCCACAGTAAAGACACTTTGGAATTTTTTAATGGGAGACCTTGGAACATTTAGCCCTGGAATTAGATGTCCCCACCAAATCCCTCTCCTCAGGGATCAGGTAATTCTGAGGAAGAGGAGGCAGAAAGAGTGCTATATTTGCTATATTTTTATTATATCTTAGAAGCCTGTTCTTTTCTATCTGTTTTTTATTTTTTGGTGGGGTTGGTTTTTTCCCTCAATATATGTTTTTATTTAAATTAGAAACATGAATGTTTCACATGTCAATCCCAGCTCCCTCTCCCATTCCTCCTTCCTTGTCCCTCCACCAGCGCCGCTCCAGCCCCACACCCAATCCCCACATCATTCCCCAGGGAGGGTGAGGCCCTCCTTGGGGGGATCTCCAAAGTCTGTCATTTCATCCAGGGCAGGACCTAGGCCCTTCCCCATGTGTTCAGGCTGAGAGAGCATCCCTCTATTTGGAATGGGCTTCCAAAGATCATTCATACACCATGGTAAACACTGATCCATGGTAAACGCTACCCAAGGCCCCACTGATTTCTGTGGCCTCCTCACTGAGACTGCATTCATGGAGTCTGGATCAGTCCCCTGTTGACCTCTCATCCATCAGTCTGGGATTCAAGAGCTCCCCCTTATCCGGTCAGCTGTCTTTGGGGGTTTCACCATCATGGTCTTGACCCCTTTGCTCACCACTCCTCCATCTCTGTCACTAGGTTCCAGGAGATCAATTCAGTGTTTAGCTGTGGGTATTTGTCTCTGCTTCCATCGGTCCCTGGATGAAGGTTCCAGGATAAGCCTGTTCTTTTCTAATGAGAGACAGAAAGGAAGTGGATCCAAATGGGAGGGGAGGTGGGAAGAAACAGGGAGGAGTAGAGGAAAGGAAAACTGTAATCAGGATATCATCCGTGAAAAAAGAGATGCTTTCAATAAAAGGAAAATTTTAAATAAAAAGAAGTGAAACCTCTAGTCTCCAAAACACCAAATAATCCCATTAAAAAGTGGGTACAGAGCTAAATAGAGAATTCTCAATAAAGAAATCTAAAATGGCTGACAGACACTTAAGAAAGTGCTCAACATCCCTAGCCATCAGGGAAATGAAAATCAAAACAACTCTGAGATACCATCTTACTGCTGTCAGAATGGCTAAAAATCAAAAACACCAATGACAGTTTATGCTGGAGAGGATGTATAAAAAGGGGAACACTCCTCCACTGCTAGTGGGATTGCCAACTCACACAGCCACTTTGAAAATCAGTATGGAGATTTCTCAGGAAAATGGAAATCAGTCTACCACAAGATCCAGCAATTCCACTCAAAAGATACACATTCATACAATAAGGACATCTGTTCAACTATGTTTATAGCAGCACTAATTTCAATAGCCAGAACCTGGAAGCAGCCTAGATGCTCCTCAACTGAAGAATGGATAGAGAAAATGTGGCACATTTATACAATAGAGTATTACTCAGCAGGAAAAAATGGAATCTTGAAATTTGTAGGCAAATGGATGGAACTAGAAGAAACCATCTGAGTGAGGTAACCCAGTCACAAAAAGGCAAACATGGTATGTATTCACTCATATATGGAATTTATACATGGAGCAGGGGAGTGCCAGCCTACAATCCCACTGCCAGAGACTCTGCAAAACAGGGTGGGCCCTAAGAGAGATATGCATGGTACCCCAGAGAAGGGGAATGAAAACTCCAAATAACAAAGGAGACAGAGTTCCAACTAGGCATCCCTAATTATCGAGTGAAGAAGGTTCCAGTATCAGAAACAGTTTAGCCGGGCGGTGGTGGCGCCCGCCTTTAATCCCAGCACTCGGGAGGCAGAGACAGGCAGATATCTGTGAGTTCGAGGCCAGACTGGACCGACAGCCTCCAAAACAATACAGAGAAACCCTGTCTCGTAAAAACCAAAAAAAGAAAAAAAAAAAAGAAACAGTTTATATCCAATCAAGTTCTTAGCTAAAGGAGTCCCATGGGAACCCCAAAACAACCCAAGCCATTTGCAAGGCTGTTGTTGTCTGTGGTTGTTTGAATAAGAATGACCCCCATTGGTTCTTATATTTGAATGAGTGGTGCTATTTGAAAGGATAAGAAGGACTAGAAGGTATGGCCTTGAAGGAATAGGTGTGTCCTTCTTGGAGGAAGTACCATCATTAGGAGTGGGCTTTGAGGTTTCAAAAGCCCATGCCAGGCCCAGGCTCTCTCCGTTTTCACATCAGGTTATACCTCTCAGCTACTTCTCTAGCACCATACCTGGCTGCCATCATGATCTCTGCCATGATGATAATGAACTAAGCCTCTGAAACTGTAAGCCAGCCCCAAATTAAATGCTTTCTTGTATAAGAGTTGCCTTGATCATGGTGCTCTTCCCAGCAAGATAACAGTGACTAAGACAGCAGCTCTCCACAGAGGAATGAAATCATCAAAAGATGGGGGAAACAAAGCCCCGAATACATATCTCCTGTCAACGAGTGAGTCTTCCAGTGCCAGGAATTAATTATACATAATTGTCTTGTCAGCCAATGGGGCCCCACGGAAACCCCCATACCACTCAGGTTATTGCCAAGGCTATTTGGTTGATCTCCACAAAGTAATTGTATGGTTATATTGCTGAAGACACACCTACATAACTCATTGAACACAGAGACGTCAAACTGGTGCCTTCCTAGAGCTTTCACCCCTACAGATTAATATTCTGCATGATACCAAAGGAGAAAGGTAAACACCAACCCAATTACAAATGCTTCTATCTACAAGAGTGACCTGACTGCAAGACACACTAGTGCAATTGTAGCACAAAACTTGTGGGAGTAAGCAAACACTATCTGATTTGAGTAAAAGTCCACTCCATGAGATGGAAGCCAGTGGTACTTGGCTGGCCAAGAACTTAAGACTAGATAGCCAAGGAACCTAAGAGAAAACCAAATACCACTATTCTACCTAAATAACATAACAATAAAATTACTCCTAATGGTATTCTATACTCATAGATCCATGCCTTGCTTAGCCATCATCAGAGATGCTTCTTCCTGCTCAGATGGAAATGAATACAAAGACCCTCCGCCAGAGGGTGAGAGCCCTGGAAAAACCTTGCCCCTCCCCTCAGGCCTCAGGGATGGAGAACACAAAGGAAAAAAAGGCCTTCCAAGCAGAGCATGACAGATACACGTAGGGACTCATGGAGACCAAGACAGCATATTCAGGGCCTGCATGGGTCTGCACCAGACGGGGTCCTAGAGCTGAAAGAAGTGGGCATACTCCCACCCCTAAGCCAGAATCTATCTCCAATCAATAGCCTCTTGTAAATGAAAACCTAGGTTTTTTTCACTGGTATTATTATATTATATCATGTTGTATTATTATTCCTTAGATATCTGTGATTTTTTTCCTAAGGAGAGACAGAAAGGATGTGGATTTGGAAGGGAAAGAGGAGGAACTGGGAGGATTTGGGGGAGAATAAACCATATTCAGAATATATTCTATGAAAAACAACACTGTTTTCAATAAAATAAATTTTAATGAATCTGTTGTTGTCAACATATTATTCTTCACTTTTAGCTCCCAGAACTGTGAGAACACAAATTTCTACTGCTTAAGATATGTAGCACTTTGCTATGGCATGCCTAGCAAAGCAATAACACTAATACTTCATCATTTTGGAATCTATTCTTCTTTATATAGTCTGGAAACCAGCTATACTCTGGAGTTATCCTATTCTTCTTTATATAGTGTGGAGCTAGCTGCGGTCTGGAGTTATCCTGTTGTTTGGTACGGTTCTCAGCTCACTTTCTTCAGTCTCTATGTTCCCTCTTTCTATTTTCCATCCTTTATTTGAAAAGGAAGACTATGAAGTGACTGCTCTTATTTATTTCAGACAGAAGGAGGCACCTACAGAATTTTGTTCATTTGGTAAAAGATTTTTAAGTTTTAGAGGGTCTGTGTGTGTGGTAGATGGGAAGGGAGAGAGAGAGAGAGAGAGAGAGAGAGAGAGAGAGAGAGAGAGAGAGAGAGAGAGAGAGAGAGAGAGAGAGAGAGAGGGTGTGTGTTAGGGGCCTGCCTCAGCTGACCCTCTACTCTGTACTGGAGGAAGTAAGCAAAACTGTGAAAAATGAACATATCCAACTATTGGTATACTAGCTCTTGCACCAAAACCCCTGCTCTAAGTCCAAGTTAACATGGAGGACAGTTTATGTTGGTGGGGATAGATAGCACAAGTCTGTTAGCTGACAGAACTCACTGAAGATAGTAGAAATGAAAATTATAATTTTACAAAACACCTCATTGCTCTATTCTTCATTTTAAACTTTGCCTATTGTTCTCATCCACAGATTAAACTTTAATGTAGTTTTCTTCAGGATGGCTAGTGGCATCTTGAATCAACATCTTCCACTCTGCTCTGAAGAGCTTTACAAGGGCCCTTGACATTGCATACCTGGGAGCCTAAAGAAAAATTGTTTGACAGAGAACAGAGGAGATCACACCTCTCCAAGCCAAGTGTGTGCTATTACCTGAATCACTTAGGAGAAACCGAGGCCCTCACACCCAGTGTTCTATCAACACCTTCTGCTAAAGAGGAAATGGGTGTTTCTAAGAACTCTAGATATGTGTAGGGGCTCTTCAGGTTCTCTTGAGTCTTTCAGATGCTTCCCTCAACCCTTCAGGAATGTAGAAAGAGCTAAGACACTTCCAAGAAGACCAAGTGCACTTCATGAATAAGCAGTAACCATGAAGTAGTTGCCAAATTGAATGGCCTTCCTGTTAAAAATAATGAGTGGAAATGTGGAAAAATACAGAAAACTTCTCGTCTTTGATCCACCCCTCACCATCAGCACAGTGTTAATCTTGCTCTCTTTGCGTGCCCATGGCCCTTTGCACATATGTGTTTAAATTCCATTCACACAATAGCTTTCTCCTTTTTAAATGGCTGTTTCTGGTTAAAAGAAAATATGACACTTATTTTTCCACTTGAGTATCATTTTTAAAAAATGAACCACAAGATCTAGGAATGGATTTGAGCTAAAGCAGTGACCAAAAGAGAAATGTTTTGGTGATAGAACAGTAGGGGTTGTGAGAGCTTAGTGAGAAGGGGAGAGAGGCAGAAGAGGGAAGGAGCTCAGGGTCTCTCCAGTTGATAACTTGTTTTCTTTGATGATGTTTCCTTTTCTTCTCTTTTACACATCTGCCTGTGAGCACAGAATGGTAACCAGACATGGACAGGTTTTATCCACCAGACCTTTCCTGCTTCCCAGAGACCCTTCACAAGCTGACAAGCAAGTGTGGGCCTTGTTTCGAAACCACATGACTGTTAGAAGTTTTTCAAATATTCATGGTGAATTAGACATCTCCTAGAAGTTAGATACCCTAAGATCAGCTTTTGACAGCTTAGCTATCACAACACCTACTAGCAGGAACCCTATGACAATGTCAACAAGCAAAGGCAGAAACTCTAAGCCTCAGAGAAAACTTTCAAAAACACATGATCCAAAAACAACACCTGAATTCTTTGTTTGGCAAATGAGAAGTTTTGATTTTTTTTTCTAGACACATCTTTAGTTGTAGAATTAAACCCAAAGTAAAAACAGGTTCATATTAGAAGTTCACACAGAAACTCTCTATTTACGATGTGTTTTACAATATGTTTTTAGTTCCTCCAAGAAACATTTTAGTTTATGATCCTTCTGGTCAAATGTAGAAGTCTAGTAACACTGTTTTCTGACATGAAAAAGGGTTGTAATTTGAATAAGAATGGCTCCCGTGGGAGTAGCTTTATTGAGAAGAATTAAAAGGATTAGGAAATGAAGTCTTATTGGAGAAGATGTGGCCTTATTGGGGTAGGTGTGGCCTTGTTGGAGGAAATATATCACTGGGGGTGGGTTTGGAGGTTTCAAAAGCCCATGCTAGGCCCAAGTTCTCTCTTCTTCTCTCTCTGCTACCTATGGATCAGAGTGTAAAGTTCTCAGCTCCAGGGCCAGGCCTGTGGGCCACCACGCTACACGTTACAATGATAATGGACGAACCCTCTGAAACTCTCAAATGCCTTCTTTTATGAGGTACTGTGGTCGTGGTGTCTCTTCTCAGCAAAAAAAACAAGGGCTTTTCTACAAAGTGACTTCCCTTGTCTGGCCTTCATCTAAGGGCTAGTTTCCACCCTGGTAAGTACCAGGCAAGATAAGCTCTGTATAGTGATTCAAATACAAAGAAAACAACAGCTGTGAACTAAACTGACTGTGAGGAAATGTCCAATGAAATGTCTTAGATTCCAGAAAAGAGACTCCCACACAACTTATTTCCTTCTTGATTGTAAAAAAAAATAGGACATCAAAGTACATCCTGCTTTATGAAGAAGAATCTATTATGACATCTTTAAAAAACCTCTTACTAAAGATGATTAAAGTGTCCACAGTGCCCCCCCACTCCACTTCCTGATGTGTGTGTGTGTGTGTGTGTGTGTGTGTGTGTGTGTGTGTGTTTAAATGAGTGAGACATTTATGGTTTAGCCACTTGAAGAGTCAATCTGCTGGAGTAAGGCAGTGGACATGCATTAGTTATGTATAAAACCATATATTACATATGGTTTTCACAAGTGAGTGTAGGGGGAGCACAGGACTTGGAGCTTCACAGGGTTGTTCTAATACAGGAAGTCATGTTCCTTAACAGCTTCAGAATAAGCACACCTAGGAACTGCCCCTGGGGTTCAGGAAGCTGTTTGTGACTTAAAGGATGACTGGCTTACCATTTCCAAAGCAGTCTCCTTCGAAATCAAAGGCTTGGAGACGGATGTTCCTTGTCTTCATCTGAAGCTGTGCTGACAGCTGGATGCTCTGCTCACTCACACACTTGAAGGAATGCCCAACAACCGTCTCAAACATCACCATCCTGTGCTTCATTCCCTGATAAGTCCTCTCTGAAGAGAAAAAAGGGAAACGCACCAGCACCACACTACAATGAAAACTATCATCACTGTGTCTATTTCTCCTGCTAATGATGCTGAGCTCTTGATCATATGAACCTATAACTGGTTTCCCCATCTTTTAGTCTCTAAGTTAATTTGTAGTCTGATAGTCCTTTCACACATTTCTTGAGAGTAATAAGTCTACTACTGTCTAAAATCTGGTCCATCACTAGAGAATAACATTAAGCAATTTCTATTAGCACTCATAATCTTATTCTCTAGTCTTGATAAAATAGGCATAAGTAGACACATATGAAAATTAGTTGTCGGTTGTGACATTTTTATTTACATTTAACCAGCATCACTGACAAAAATCCTCTTGAGTAACATCAATAAAATGTAGCAAATATTTTAAATAGACTTCACCCCCACAGTTTCATTTCTTGGCAAATTTCGTTAGTAAGAGATCATTAATTAATAATGTTTAAACTGATCAAATGATAACGCTTTGAAAGAAAGAAATTAGAAAATTCCCAAGGCAGTAACTGACATAGTAGAGAGGCTCAATATAAATGTGTTATCTAAGACTAGACTTTCTGGAGAAATATCTGAGGCCCTCTGTAGACTTGTTAGATTTATTTAGGAGCATTATCTCTCTAAATGTCAATGTTCGCAATTTTTTTAAACATGCCCCACTGTGGGTAATTTTACATAAGGGAACCAAAGTGAACTTTCATAAGTGCAAATCTGAAACACCATTACCTTAACCCAAATCTTCCTATGGTATATTTATATATTTTGAAACGAAATCTCAAGTCTTCAGCTTACCTGTCCAGAGACCCTACATGCCCTAGACTGGCCATTCATGGGACCTCATCTGTTGTGTGTTCACTCTCTAGGGCACATTAGCACCCTGTTGTTCCTTAGCTTCTGTGGTGGTTTGATGGAGGATGTACCCCAGAGTGGTGTGTGGCCTTGTTGGAGGGAGTACATCACTTTGGTTGGGCTTTAAGTTTTCAAAACTTCATGCTATGCTATTCCCAATGTGTGTGTTCACTCTCTCACTCTGTCTGTGTCTCTGTGTCTCTGTGTCTCTGTCTCTCTCTGTGTTCCCCCTCTCTCTCTCTCTGTCTCTCTCTCTCTCTGTCTGTCTCTCTCTCTCTATCTCTGTCTGTCTTAGCTTACAGATCAAGATCTAAGTTCTCTGTTCTTTGCCCCATGCCCTAGTCACCATGCCTGCCTGCTGTCACACTTCTCTGCCATGATGATGATGAACTCTTACATCTTTGGAACAATGAGTCAAATAAGCCTTCCTTTTATAAGTTACTTTAGCCACAATAGGAAAGTAGCAAATACAGCTACTTTAGCAACCTCACTCCTTAAGATACACGCATTTTTCATTAATGCCATCTGTAAAAGTTGCCTAAACTAGATAATCACAAATGGAGATACTGTGACCAAACCTAACATTTCAAAGCAGTCTTTCTCCTGCTTCCCAAAGGGTACATGAAATAGCTCTGCATTCTCTGACATTCTGGGTTGGGTTTGCTCACAGAACTCATTACCACTTAAGAATACAGTTTAACATAGCTGTGTATGGTGTTCTTCCCTTCTGGAATGCAAGCTCCACTATGACAGAATCTTATCAGTTTGGATAACTATGGCTCCTCAGTTTCCAGCACAGAGCTTGGTACCTATCTATATAATATTTTTGCAGGATAATATACAGTTCAGAGCATAGAATAAATTGCATTCCAACAACCAACAACAAATAAGTTAAAAAGGTCCTGAACTTGCAGTTTCTAAAGATAATGATTGCTGATATAATCTAGACCACCATCCTCCATGATCAGATAAGCTGAAGTACATATGAGTTATGAGTTCCTCCAGAGTTTTGGTATAGACTACTTCCTTGTTGTTTAAAAAGAAAACATCAAAGAGTATCAGAATCAATGATAAGAAAATGAGAAGACCAGAAAACAGTGATGTGACAGCTGTTGTCTTACTAACCTGTATTTGAGACAGTCAAATATGCTCCCACTTCACTGACATAATATGAGTTTTCTTCCTGTAAAACAGCAATGTATTAGCCTTTGGGTAATCTCCATTTTTGCATTTTTAATCTTGGCTATTAAGTCCTTTATATGAGGACTGGACTATGGTATATGTTTGTTCTAGTCGTAATTATATTTGAAAATTTCAACAAAGGTAAGCTTACCACACAATAAATAAAAAATAAGTAAAGAATGGCTCCTGGATCCAGATTTCTCTATTTCTTACTTATTGCTAGAGCCTGAAACTAAACTTCCACCATAAGAATTTGAATTCTACCAAGTTTCCAAAATTCAATTACCTCTTAAAGGCAGAGAGGAATGGCTAATATGGGCGGGTGGTATTAACTTAAATACCCATCCTCAAGAATACATGGGGTGGAGTTTAATGGTTTAATCAACCCTCTAGAGAAAATTAAATAAGCAAAATTGTATGTGCATTTTCCTGGCAAAAGGTTAATTTGTCTAGACAGATAAATAGATTCATGTTTTCAGATTGGTTAAGTGGGCCACCAAAAATGGGAAGACTCCATTTTTCCTGGAGTCCACATTTTACCCCCATATTTTATGTACAAGTTTTTATTATGGAAATAAAAAGAAACTACACAATAGTCCTATAGCAGCTTGAAAGTCTAGAGGCACAGAATGCTCAAGAGAGGAGTCAATTTAAAAGGAAATTTGTGTATCTGTTAGGTGATGAGAATTTAATCCAGGGTCTCATACATAATAAGCATATCCTCTATCACTGAGCTATATCCTTGACCCCTTTATATTTTTCAAAGTTAGTGATTTATATTGTTGTCACCAGAAGGGTGTAAAAATAATGATAATGTAACCAAAATCAGAATATAAAATCAAATTACTTTCAAAAGTTTCACATGTAATCACAAAAGAAACTTAATAATTATGATCACATTATAGCCCATACCCCTGTTATTCATAGATGAAATGATGATTCATTACACAGTACAACCTACTTTAGCAAGACCACTGAAAAGATAGAGGAATTCTAGATCCTGCAATTCACTGACTGGCCTAACATGATGCCTTCTTAGTTTGTACCAGACACTGCAGCAGACATCCCATGCCTTGTCCCAGTTAATCCACACAACTATGAGAAGAAAAATGAAGACTGAGTGTTATTCGAGGCCACAGCACTAAGGTAGACAGAGTAGCCCAAACTAGAATTAAGTTGCATTTAACATCCACTCCATGTCAGACACTGTTCAAGGACCCAGCAGAAGACCAGGGTCTCCTCAGAAGTACTCAGTCTCATCATTCTTAAAGTCAAGTTCAGCAACACACTTGGATCATCTATTTGCTGTAGGGAAAAGTATCTGAGGCCCAAGTCCTGTCTGTATTGCTTTCATATGCCACCTACTCAGGTTATTCTTTACCTAGGATTTATTTCCCTTAGGTTATGGTGTTAGCCTAATTTAAGGCTCAGTAGAAGAATGGTTACAATCCTACTCTGAATCTTCTATAATCTCCCCTACCTTTAGGATCATCATGACCTTCTGTGTAAATGTTTGGCATTTCTAGGATAATGTCAGTTTACCAAGTACACTATATTTCCACTCGATTGCCTCATTTGAACTTCACAATAACCCTCTAAAACACAATAAATATTATCAGCCAGTTTTTGATTGACTAGAAAGTTCACAGTAGTTGTGCATTTTCCTCAGATTCACATAGTTTGTAGGTGAGGTGAAAAAGATGCTGCTTTTAGGATAATGTCCTAGCTTATCCTCAAGAACTTCACAGTATGACCCTATTTCTGATGATGACACCTACTTAAGTCATAACATAAGGATCAATCTGGTACTTACCTGGAAGTACCATCCCCATTGGCTAGTTTTCATAGTATACAGGTAGTTGCTGTGAATACAACTGGAAGTGAAAAGTAATCATCAAACTCACCCAGCTGTAAACTCAAAGAGATATAATTACAGCCAGCCTGGCGAGGTAAGTCACCACCATAATCATAGCACAAATGCTTGTGGAAGTGGCCAGCCACTTTCTGGCTGGATTTGAGGACCAGTCCACACTATAGATGCCCTAGCATTGTTATCATGGGTAAGAGCCTGTGGCTGGACGATCATAGATCATGGTGGAGAACCTGTTACTGATTTTAAACTGACTTCTGATGACTTACTGCAGATCTATGAATTAGTGCATCTTCTCATCAGAGAAGATTCTTTATGCGGTAGATCATTGCTATCACAGGGACCCACAACTGGTCAAGATGCAAAGAATGAGAGTCTGCGGAGGGATTAGCCATGAGATGCTCCACGGCCTCACCAGCATGGTTAATTCTCGAGGATTATAGCATCACACATGAATCCGGATTTCAGTAGGAACTGAGGAGGCCTTAAATCCAATTAAGTGGCTGTTGGCTACCCCAAGATATAAGTGCTACAATAGACTCTTTGGGGATATCTTGCTATGCTTGTCATTGTGGGGTTTGCATGCTGGGTAGCACTATTGATTGTTTTTCTTGTGTGGCTGCTTACATAGCAGCTTCTGGAACTATGAGAACTTGAACTGAAGACTTACAGGTCAGATCAAGTTCAAGTTCTCCAAGTCCTGGGAAAGGTAAGTTTCAATCTTCATTTATCTTCTACTCTACCATGCTTAGCTCCTAAAGTCTTTGAATTTAAGTGCACTCTTTTGGCCTAAGCAGTCTCTCTCTCTCTCTCTCTCTCTCTCTCTCTCTCTCTCTCTCTCTCTCTCTCTCTCTCTCTCTCTCTCTCTCTCTCTCCTATGTTTGTGTGTGAGAGACTCACTCTCCTTCTCCCTCGTGTGTGTTTGTCTGTCTCTATTTTTCTCTTGAAGCTCTTCCTTACCTCTCTTTTTGATGCCTTTGGGCTGGAAATTTTGACCAGATTCCACCTCAGTCTTGAATCACTGCCTTTCTGAAAAACTCTATATGCTCCCAAATTCTGTTTATTCTAAATGAGTTGAGAGGTAATGAAGATCCGCATGGAGATAGAAGTCCTTCCTGTCTCCACCCAGCATCCCAAAGGCACTCTCCAATGGTGGTTGGAGGGGTGGCTTTGGCTCATTTGCTGGTGTATCACAGGCTAACCATCTTCAGTCACTCAGCTCCCCAGCATGAGCTCATCAAGCATCTGCTGAGGTTCCAGGACAGGAGAGAGGTAAAGAGGCTCTGAGCCTTTGTCTTCTTGCAGAGTTTCTGCATCTCATAGAAACTGTTTAAACATAATACATAGAATGGAGGCTATGACTTGTCCTGTTGGAGATTGGTTCACCTGACATGCTCAGAAATCAGGAGAGAGATGAGTCAAATCCTTATGTAACCACTGTTAGCCAGCACAATAAGAATATTCCCTCTGCTTTAACCTTTATAAGGAAAAATACTTTTAAATGTAGAATCTGCTTTATGTTTATTTCTGCTTTCCCCACAAACCTCCTTTTCTATCAAGTTAACCTTCAAGGCTGAGCTCATCCCAACAGTTCATCTTATTAAGTGTTAGTCTATCCAGAATCACAATTAAGAGCCAATTAAGAGCTTTAGTTTGTCTTTAATAACTATGTTCCAAGCTAAATTATTCCATGTGCACATAAATACTGTGTTAAACAGTTTACATTCATACTTCTCATTCTGCCAAAAGTCAGAGTAACTTGTCTCATAATTTCCATTTTACGGATTAAGAAACATCCCCCAAGTAGCTTGAGCACATGCAGATAATACTGGCTCCTTTCAACTCCACAGTGAGCTAAGTTCCTTTCTTGACAGTGGGATGACCAGGTTCATCTGTTTACCTTGTCCCAAGATATCTGCTCATTGTGGGTAGCTGTTAAACATTCACAACTTTCTCTACAATGCATATGCTTTTATAAAAATAATCCCTTTTCTCAGTTTTAAGTAACAAAATAGAAGTTAAACGGATTAAGGTTGCCAGCTTGGTGCCACAAAAAGATGAGTGATAGAGTCAAATTTACAGCTGACTATGACCTCAATGCCCAAGTCTTTCCCATTCTTCATGGCTGTCTGTATCTCCTGTCAGGAAAACTCAGAGCCCTCGTAGTCTGTGAATTTTGCCTTGAGGGATTAGAAAGAACCCACTCTGGTATTTAGTGTTGGTTTTAGAATAACCATACTTTTCTGACATCCACTAGGAATTTCCACAAATCTTTTCATCCATTCTACTATCTCCTTGAACAATCTACAAAAAGGGCACTGGTGGCTAGACCCCCACAAAGCTAAGGCTCTCCTGAGAGACACTGAGGCCCTTCTTGGACTGGTCAGAGGAGGCCAAGGGGGACAAGGCAAACACGATGTCAACACTTCCTTCCTCTCCCTACCAAGCTCTTTGTTCTTATCTGAACCCATCTCAAGAGGTTCTTAGGTACTTTTGCCACAGGCCCTAGCTTGAAATTTAACACTGAAATACTAGCACTAGATTAAGGAGAGGCCAAGCTGGGCTAGAGCCAGTGTGATCAAATTCATGCCTCACCTTGATGAATGTAATATTCACTGATCCACCTTGGAAATCCAAGAAGAGGTTGGATTTTTGGGAGCCACATTTCCCGGATGCATGGGTTAGGCTGGGGTCAATGTTGAAGTGTCTCTGAGTTGCAAAATCCTAAACCAAATAAGATAGACCCACTCAGTAAGAGAACAGAGAACACTCAAGCCAGATACCCCACAGTACAAGTCATTAATGAGTAGTAAATAAATGGATGCCTATTTGAAAACCACAAACTCCCCTACTGGATAGCACTCTCTTACTTCCAAGCACATATTTAAAAGACTTTTTAGAAAGAATTTCCCCATAATAGGGATTTCTTAATGGGTAAATCATAGGAGGCAAAATATGTGGAAATCTATTTTTGTTCAGTTCAATTTATTGAAAGGTGATAAGGAAGGAGTTTGTATTCTAAAGTCCTTCTGCCTCAAATACAGATATGTGGAGGGTGGATTACAAACTAAAAAGAAAATAATTTACGATGGCTCCCTCAAAAGTTAAATGCTTTGAATAACCCTTTACCTAATGTTCTTGTTAACTTGAATTTATGAATTAATATCACAGTGGACTGGAACAATGGGAACATCAGATTCCAACATCTCATGTCAGAAAGGAATTGAGGCTGGGAAGTCATGCAAAGGACAATGTTGTTGTCACTCACCATCCATTTTATTGCCAATGCTGGCTCCAAGTGAGAAGTGTATGTATTGAAGTTCTCTTTGCTTTCTCTATTTTAACTTTTCTTCCGGAACACATTCCTTTATTATGGAGAACACTAGAAAGAAACCCACAGCTAGATACCTGTCTCACCTAAAGATAGGATGTAGAGAACTGCTCTTTTCTGCCTTGTGAGTGCTGAGATTAAAGATGTGTGCCACCACCACCCAGCAAGAACTGCTCATTTTAGCAAAACAACTCCAATCAGATTTTGAAGATAGCATTATCATCCTATGACCCCCAACTTACCAAATCCTTTTCTTGAACAATCAGTTCTAGTCCCATCTCTGCTTTTATACAGAGCCTGCTTCCATTTAGGACTTCATATGTTCCCGTCTTGGCTGGTGATAACTGGGTTGCCAGTGTGGGCCCAGGAACTATGGGGGCAGGTGAAGATTCAAAGCTGACCTTGTGTGTAGGTACTGATGCTCCTGGAACATAGGTGGGTGGAGTTGGCTTCTGATTGGTTGTGGTTTTGTGTAATGCTGTGAAAAATGTTTGGTGGAAGGTAGTCTGACCACCAAGTTGGGGAGTTCTCCCAGTTATATTGTTGACAGTGGATAGACTAGTTCCAGTTGTATGAACTGGTAAATGTGCAACTGAGCTAGGGCCAATGGTACCTTCAGTAGATAATGTAGCCACGTGTGAGTTATTAGGTGTAACAAAGGTATAGTTAACTGGGATGCTGGGTAGAAGGCGTTTTGTAGTTACTGGGATTATTGCTTTGGTTGTTGTGTGAGCTATGTTTTCAGGGGTGGAGTCTTCAACAGACATTTGAATGTGACCATCCCTTGATCTTGCTGCTAAAGTTACACGATGTGTTTGGTTAACCAGCTGTAGGAGAGGTTTTGCTGTGGTCTGTCCTGTGACTGTTGAGGTATATTGAAGATAGTCTCTGCTTTTTGGAAATTCTTTTTCTCTTATTTGATAGCCATGTAAAATCACTGCAAATTAAGAAAGCAGAAATGTTACAAGCAGTGGCCAAATGCTTCAAAGGTCCCTCCTCCATGTCCACTTTAATGTGCTCACAAGCAAACCAGCGTACACAGTTTCATAGCTGGGGAAACCTTTCAAAAGTTTCAACAATGAAATGAAGATCACCAAAGACACTAGTACCAGGCCATCACTGTAATGTTTTGACTTGCACATGTGTTCTTTGTATGTTTATGACCATATGTCAGACATTCTGCATGTAACCCCTTCATCTGCATAAGTTTTGGTACCAATGCACGCCAAAGCGACCATGTTCAACTGTGAAATCAAAAAGAAGTCATAAAATGACATAGAGTGAACAGTGGTTGTGATTATTTTATAGACTTAAGCAGCATTAGAAATTTATAGTGTTTTATATTTTTCAAGAAATCAAACAATTCCAAATTGAAATAAGTCTCACAAGCTATTTAATTTAAAGCATAATCTGGTGGATAGATTGTGCCTAATTAATATATATTCATACAATCTATGTTTAATTGCTCCTAGTGATGAAAGACTATTTTCTCTGAAGATAGTCCCTTCCATATTATTTTTTCTAAATATAGACCAATTTCTATTATTTGCTTAATCTTTCGAGCAACAGTCTTTATTAACTAAGAAAAGAGTCGAGGTATAATTTCTCTGGTCCTTCATGTTTTGATTTAACTGCTGGCTCTTCAGAGTGTCTTCCCTTTTCTTATATAAAATGGCCCCATCACCATGGTTCTCTATCTCATTGTTTTGGCTTCATCTATCACATCTTGTACTCACATATGGGGAAAGTATCCTAATATTTAGTGATCACATTGCCAGTAAGTATGATTAGAATTCCATCCTTGAAGAAATGTTTACTTGCTGGTTTATGTGTTGGTTATGCATCTTACTCAGTAGACTAAAAGTCTAAATTTGAGGATTTTGTGCACAGTTTTTACCACAAGTGCCTGTGCATAGAAAGTGTTCAACAGTTATGAGTTGGACAAGTGAGTTAAGAAGGATAATAGCCTTAGAGACATTCTAAAGTTATTATAAAGCTGAAACAAGTTGGTATCTGTGAAAACCTTCAGGACCATTGGGTATATAGTGTCTGCTGTTGTCACAAATTGTCTCCAAGGATATCCTTTAAGGAGTTTAAGCCTTCTGCCTCTCTTTCATCCGGATTCTATCCATGCCTCTTTTTTTTTCATTTTTTAAATAGCTTGTTTTACATGTCAATCCCAGTTCCCTCTCCCTCCCCTCATCCCACACTCCCCCATCCCCCTCAGCCCCCCACCCTATTGCCAATTCCTTCTACATAGGGGATATCTAGAGTCTGTCATTTCACTCAGGGCAAGGTCCAGGCACTCCCCTAAGAGTCCAGGCTGAGAGAGCATCCCTCTTTTTGCTATGGGCACACGATGACTGTTTGTATTCCAGGAATAAACACTGATCCACTGCTCAGGGCTCCATAGGTTGCCCAGGCCTTCTCACTGACACTCACATTCGGGGGGTCCAGATCAGTCCCATGCTGGCCTCCCCCCTGTCAGTCTGGGATCCAAGAGCTCTCCCCTGTTCAGATCAGCTGTCTCTGCTGGTTTTGCCAGCCCATTCTTTGCCAATTTGCTCATCACTCCTCTCTCTCTGTCACTGGGTTCCTTGGGTTCAGTTCAGTGCTTAATTGTGGGTGTTTGCCTCTGCTTCCATCAGTCACTGGATGAAGGCTCCAGGATGGTTATAGACATCAAGTTCATTATCAGGAATGGGCATTCGGGGTGGTCTCTCCACTATTGCTTAGCTCGCCAACTGGTGTCATCCCTTTAGATCACTAGAGGTCACACTGGTACCTGATCTGTCTTATAACCTATGATTCCCTCTTCCCCCTATTCTACCCCCCCCCTGCACTCAACTTTCCTGTTTCCCCATGACCTACTCTCTCTTCCTCTTCTCCCCCCTCTCTTCTTCCCAGCTCTCACTCCCCCAACCCCTCGCCGTGTTCGCCATCCATTCAGAGGATCCATGCCTCTTTTTAATCACATATAAACCCAGAAAAGAAGACCAATCTTTTTTAATTAATTTTATTTAAATTTAAAACAATCTTATTTTACACACCAATCCCAGTTCCTTCTCCCTCCTGTCCTCCCATTACTCCCATCCTACCCTCCATTCACTCCTCAGGAAGGCTGAGGCCTCACATAGGGGATCAACAAAGTAAAATAATTTATTTTTTTATTTTATGTGCACTGGTGTTTTGCCTGCATGTATGTCTGTGTGAGGGTGTCAGATCTTGGAGTTATAGTTGTGAACTGCCATATGGGTGCTGGGAATTGGACCAAGGTCCTCTGAATGAGCAGCCAGTGCTCTTAGCCACTGAGCAATCTCTCTAGTACTAGACAAATTCTGAAACTGGCCCTTGGAAACTCTTTGATGGGGTGTGCTGGGAAACCACTCTGTCTCTTCAAAATTCTTTGTTTATATTGCAGTTACTCAGACATTTACAGGAGCTGTAGCTGTTGATTCTGGGCTGAGACTTGAGAAAAGATGCAAAGTGAAAAAAGAGCATGGCTTTACTCTGGTACTTATGAAATCTGCAGGTTCATAACAGTCACTATAGTCTATAAATATCTCTAGGTTTCTGTCTTCCATTCAATACATTCTAAGTGGTTAATTTTTCTGCATTAATAGGTAATGACAAAACCCTTGGTGCTTATGCTACTGAGGATCAAATTCAAGGCTTTGATTATAGTAGGCAAGCATTATACTCCTGAGCTGTATTCCATACCCTTAAAGCATCACAATTACTGGACACTTACTACATGGTGGCTTGAAGCCAAAGGTTCTTCTTCCTCATCCTACCATAGAGACACTTGCTCGACCATAGCCATTGCTACTCTATTCATAATAGCCAGAAATCGGAAACAACCTAGATGTCCCTCAACAGAATAATGGATAAAAAACGTGGTACATGTACACACGGGAGTATTATTCAGCATTTTTTGATAAAATCATGAAAGTCACGGGTAGAAATTCATGGGTAAATGGGTGTAACTAGAAAAACTCATCCCAAGTAATGTATGGCAGACCCAGAAAGACAAATTTGGTATGTATTCTTATATGTAGATATTGGCTATTAAGTTGGGGATAATTAAGCTACAATCCATAGACCCACAGAGCATAAGTACAGAACAAGGGACTAAGGAGGGCAGAAAGATCTCATTAGGGAAGGTAAATAGGATAGTTATGGATGGATGGATGGATGGATGGATGGATGGATGGATGGATGGATGGCAGCTGGAACAGGAGGATCAAGTGGGGAGAGGGAGAGAAGAAAGGGACAAGGGAGGGAATTTGGTGAGAGAGAGTTTAAATTATGGGCACTTAGTACAATAAGAGCTTCCAAAAATACACATATATGAAGGCAATATGAATGAAATTACCCATAATGGGAGAGCCAGAGTCCCAACAGGACATTGTCACAAAATGAAGATTGAATTGTTGGTCAAAGGGGTCCAATGGAAAACTCCAAAAAATCTAAGCTATTGTCAAGGCTAGAGATTTCTGTCTGCAAACTGACTGCAAGGCCCCTTTGCTGAAGACAAAACCTGCACAACTAATTGAACATGGAGAAGTTAAGCTGGTGCTATGTAGAGCCTCCATCCCATGGAAGAGCTAGCGTCTTTGGTACAAGATACTACTCAGCACACTAAACTAAAAAAAGAAACATAAACGCCAATCCAGCCACAAACCCTTAGATCAACAATTGTCCTCCTGAAATATATGTAGGGAATAGTGGAATAAAGCCTGTGAGTGGAAGTAATGAGCCAGCATCTTGTTTGACTTAAGGGCGACTCCATAAAATGGTGCCCATACACCACGACCTAAAGAGATATGCATGGTACCCAAGAGAAGAGGAATGAGGCAAGATCCTCTGAACAGATGGGGAACACGGCGAGGGGGGGGGAGTGGGAGCTGGGAAGAAGAGAGGGGGAGAAGAGGAAGAGAGAGTAGGTCATGGGGGAACAGGAAGGTTGAGTGGGGGGTAGGTAAGGGGGAAGAGGGAATCATAGGTTAGAAGACAGATCAGGCATCAGTGTGACCTCTAGTGATCTAAAGGGATGACCCCAGTTGGCAAGCTAAGCAATAATGGAGAGATCACCTCGAATGCCCATTCCTGATAATGAATTTGATGTCTATAACCATCCGGGAAACTTCATCCAGTGACTGATGGAAGCAGAGGCAAACACACACAGTTAAACACTGAACTGAACTCAAGGAACCCAGTGACAGAGAGAGAGGAGCGGTGAGCAAATTGGCAAAGAATGGGCTGGCAAAACCAGCAGAGACAGCTGGTCTGAACAGGGGAGAGCTCTTGGACCCCAGACAGCTGGGAGGCCAGCATGGGACTGATCTAGATCCCCGAATGTGAGAGTCAGTGAGGAGGCCTGGGCAACCTATGGGGCCCTGAGCAGTGGATCAGTGTTTATCCCTGGAATACAAACAGACATTGTGTGTCCATAACACAAAAAGGGATGCTCTCTCAGCCTGGACTCTTAGGGGAGTGCCTGGACCCTGCCCTGAGTGAAATGACAGACTCTAGATATCCCCTATGTGGAAGGAAATGGCAATAGGGTGGGAGGCTGGGAGGGATGGTGGGAAGGTACAGGAGGAGGGGAGGGAGAGGGAACTGGGATTGACATGTAAAACAAGCTATTTAAAATTAAAATAATTTTAAAAAGCAGATAGATAGATAGATATCAAAACAATGGTGCCTACACCCAACACTTCTTGGATGACCAAGAACTAGATACCACACAGCATAGGGTAAAATCAAATACTACTGTTCAAAAGGGAAAAAAAAAACAAGAAACAATAAAATTACTCCTAATGACATTCTGCTATACTAAAGATCAGTGCCTTGCTCAGCCATCAGGAGAGAAGCTTCCTCCTGCAGCAGATGGAAACAAATACAGAGACTCACAGCTCATCTACATGCAGAGAGTGAAAGACCTTGGAACACTCAGTCCTAAATGGAATGCTTCATAAAATCGCTTCCCTCAGGGCTCAGAGACCCCTGTGAAAGAGGAGATGGAAAGAGTATAAGAGGCAGAGGGGATGGAGGACACCAAGGAAACAAGGCCTCTAAATCAACACAAGCAAAGCTCATATGACTCAGAGACTGAAGCAGCAGGCACAGGGCCTGCATGGATCTGCACCAGGTCCTTTGCACTCATACTATGACTTCCGGTTTAGCAGGTTTATTGGATTCCTGAGTGTGTAAACAAGTAGGTCTCTAGTTCTTGTGTCTTCTCTTGGGCTTTTTTCCTTCTGTTGATTTATCTTGTCCAACTTTGCTGTGGCAGTTTTTGTTTTCTCTAAATATATTATATTTATATGTTTTAGTTAATGAATGAATGTAGACCTAGCCATTCAGGTAAATATTAACAACTGAACTGTTACTTATACCTGCTGGAAAAGAGGAAATCTGTTTTCACTTCTAGAGTGACATTGAGTATATCAACCATGCCAGGACAGGCCTTGTGTTTAAGAGTAGTTGACTATCATATCATGGAATACAAGTTTTTTAGTGTGCTTATTTATATTTGGTTACGGTTGGGGGGTGTTGTTTTTATTGCTTTTATTTTCTTTTTGGGTGGGGTTTTATTTTGTTTACTTGTTTGGGGGGTTGTTGTTGTATGGGGTTTTTGCTTGTTTTTTTAGAAAGAACTTAACGTTGGTAGGGTAGGAAGGGGAAGAGGATCTGGAAGGACTTGGGGGAGGGGATGAATATGATCAAACTTTATTTGAATTTAGAAATTGTCTTAAAGAATAAAAAAGAAGAAAGTGATGGCACCCAATCTCAAAAGAATAAAAACCCCATCCCTCTGGCTGAGAGGCCAGCAGGGGACTGATCCACACTCCCTGAATATAGTGTCAGTGAGGAGGCCTCAGCAATCTCTGGGGCCTTGGGTAGTAGATCAGTGTTTACCATGGAATACAAAATGAACTTTGGGAGTCATTCCACATGGAAGGATGCTCTCTCAGCCTGGACACATGGGGAAGGGACTAGGTCCTGCCCTGGATGAAATGACAGACTCTGGATGTCCCCCCATGGAGGGCCTCACCCTCCCTGGGGAATGGTGTGGGGATTGGGGGGTTGGGAGGGACTGGTGGAGGGGCAAGAGAGGAGGAGTGGGAAAGGGAGCTGGGATTGACATGTGAAGCATGCATGTTTCTAATTTAAATAAAACATTTATTGGGGAAAAAACATCCCTCATATGTGAGTACCAGCCAACAATGTATACATGTAAGCAAACAAATGTGGGGGGGGGGGGGTTCAGTGTAACACTTAGAAAAGGGAACATGAAATGATGTGGGAATTCCAATAGGACCCAGCAAGACAGAGGAAAAACAAAATGGTAATTATAAAGACAAAATGTTTACTAATATGTTCACAAGGCAAAAGATGGGAAGGTGATGTCTATGGAATCCAGTCTCTTCTTCCTCAGCAATGAAATATTGACTGTAAGCTGAACCTGTGATTTTTAGAGTAAAGAATCCTTCATCCTACTTACACTTCTATCTTGGTGAGAGTATGTTCATAGGCAGAAATTTTTACTTTTTATATTAGCTTAAAATGATAAGCTGTGGGTTTTTTCCCATTGTGCTAGTGAGTGGATCCAAAGCTAAACCAACACTACTATTGCACTACATCCACAAACCAAGTCATTTCTTTTCCATACTTCTGAGAACATGAAATTACAATCCTGAAAGAATGGCACAAACAAATCTACTTCAATTAAGGCAGCTGCCATGTCCCTTCACATAGCTTCCATAATATTAATCTAACAACTAAGGCACCTGTGATCTCCCCTTGAGTATTTTAGCAGTGCATGCAGACTGAGTCAGTGCTCTCATAAACTAAATTCAGTGGCTCTAGAAGGAATTGGAAATTAACTGGTATACTTGCTAGCAGAACAGAACAACAACCCAATAGAACTCAATATCTTGTGTATGAAATTCTCAAGTGAGAGTAGGTACTTAAGGCAGACAGTAATTATTCTAAGCTTGACCTCCCAGGTAACCTTTCTGAGTCAATTGTGCAACAGCAGTATTTTAACAACCTTTTGGATGCCTCAATTTACACCTTTGTGAAATGGTGTAACTGATCATATGATAGCTTGTGTATCTACAATTGTCACTATTTACATAAAATAAACAGCACTCAAATTTAAGAAAAACAAAGAAGGCAGTATATGACTAGACAACGATTCCTAAACCCTGACTCAGCTCTCCTAGATTAAGGCGATTTTGATAAACTCACATTGATATATGGTATCCAGACTAGTGAGGATGCCAGAAGCAATGTCTTCTGGGGCTGATACCCATTCTAACACACAGAAATTCCATTCAAATCATGAAGGTCCTTGGGGAAAATAGAAGGTGGTCCCCAACTATGTAAGCTATTAAAACCTTATGGTTTTAAATGTCCCCACACTAAATACCTGGAGTAACAGAAGCCGTATCGACAGCCCTTCCTGCCTCACCTTAGGTCCAGGGCACAAGTGAGCATTTATATTTAAGATAAAGCATGACTACCACAGAAGATGGGCTATGTCACTTACCAGCCAGGGACAGGAAGAGCACGGCCACAGCAGAGAGCCGCCCAGGCATGATAGTTAAGGTCAGTCTACTGCTGCTGTGTGCTTGGCTGGGCACAGATGGGCCTTCTGAGCTGCAGGAATGGAGTCAGTTTCAGAGCAGAAACACGAACCTCAGGAACAGCAAACTCCTTGCCCTTCATCCACTCATGGCAGAGACGCCGACCTCACTTACATGATGAGAAGTAGCTAGTAGAGTTAAATAGTGTGTTGCACCGCGAGGGAAACCACAGGCAGCTCACGGTGGGAAAGTAAACACTTGCCGCTTCCTGGAGTGTTTGTGGGAGGTGAAGGTATGGATGGGGACTGGCTAGGACAAAGGGCAACAGAAACTATTTCTCGAAAAAAGGTGGCAGCTCCTTCCCTTATAACTTGTGTTCCCTCCGTTTCTGTAAACCCTTGTAAGCCAGACCTTCGGGTACAGGGCTAAGCAGTAGTTGTATAACACTGACTCTGAGTATGAGTCGAGGCGTGTCGGTGTAATGTCCATAGCTGCTGCACTTGCTGTCTTGTGGGAACTAGGGAGACGGGGAGTTGAATCTGGCTCTGGCCATTCTCCAGATAAATTACACTGGTGACTTTTTGTTGTGAGTATATTAATGTAAAAATATAGACAAACACATCTCTTTTCTCACGATGTTAGGGTCTATTAAATAACAACAAATGATAGCTATTTACCAAATACTCCAGTTTTGCTTGGCAGAGAACACAGGTTCTATTATTCCAGTCTTAATTATTAAAATTAAATCAGATCACTCAAACACCACACTGTGTGTGTGTGTGTGTGTGTGTGTGTGTGTGTGTGTGTGTGTGTAGACTACAAAATATCTACAAAAAGCTAAGAGGTCACATCAGAGTTAAAGAATTTTTGGAAGTGAATGATTTTTCTCATTTTAATCAGTTCTATATATTAATTACTAAAAATTAAAATGGCAAAGCTGCCTTTACTGCAAATTTCTGAAAACTACAAAATCCCATAAGATACTTTTCTTTTTACCTCCTAACCAAAATTACCCTAAATTCTATTCATATCCTTTCAGTTCTTGAATTTCATCTCAAACTTGAGGCTTCTAAAGTCACAAAATACTTCTAAAGTCACCTGTTCTTCTTTGGGTCAAATAAAAACATGAAGGTATAATAAAATCACATGCATTCAAACTGCAGATTCCATACAGATTACTGGGGACAAATTGGGAACAGATCCCAGCACCAGAGAGGTGAAGAAAGTTAAGTGTGTCAGAGAACTCACACACAGATTATTCAAAATGACTGCCGTACAGTTTAATCTCACAAACAGCTTTCGCATATGCTGCTTGGCATCATCAGAGGTAAAACACAGTTCGAGATTTATGCCTAATTTGACTCTGTCCTTTTTCCTTAATTTTCATTCTCAGAAGGATCCCACCCATGATACAGGGAAAAGCTCAGGTGCATCCGAGTGGAGTCCTTCCTCCTTCATTCTGGTCTCCATTAAGACCGAACTTCTTTGTTGTCAACCCACATAAGTATTTTCACCTTTGCATAGGTTCATTTTGCACTGACAGTAATGTCCAGACCTTGTCCCTGGGAAAGGCACTTCAACCTCACCCAGGATTCTTGCACTTCCTTCCTGGGTCTGGCACTGCTCTGGTGGAGGGGAAGAAAGCGGGGTGCTAGAGTTGAGGGTCAGCTTTCACGGGCCTTTGCTAACATTTCTGGCTGTGGGCCTTCTGGACCTTTGGAGAAAATTTGTTCTCAGGACACCTGAAGAAATCCTGAGTTTGTGGTTAGGTTAAATGTCTATGATGGTTCCATGGTAATGGTAGAAGCCTCTAAAGCTAGATCCAAACGAAACTGTATAACCCCGGAAACGACCAAAGTCCTAAACTATATGTAAATTTTAGGGATGTAAAAAGTCCCTATTGGTAAGACAGGGACCCAACTGAAACACAGGGAAGAAGATGGAGACATTTCGGCGGCGGCTGAGAGTGTCATGGGTATGGAAGAGAAGTCGAGAGCAGCTACAGAAGTGAGAGGACAGGACCAAATCCAGAGAAAGGAATGAGGAGATGGACAGAGAGCACAGGCAGAGGAGTGGACAAGCAGAGGGACAGACAGAAAGCCATATCAACAATGGGGACTGAGATAAACTGAAGGCCTGGGACATTTGGGAGTTCTCTGCTTACCAATCCTTCACACACACAGCAGGTTATCAGACAGCAGGTGAGCACAATAGCACCTTCACAGTGCTATATGGCAGGTTGATGGGACAGAGCTTTTCCTGTGCTACAAGTTCACCTATTTATTGAGTTTGGAAAGGAAGTCAAATTCTTCCCTCATTTTTAAATAAGCTCTTGGGTATAATTTCCCTGATATTATTTCAGTATGCCCATGTGACCCTACCATCTCAGTTCACAATAAATGTAGTGTGGTCCCTCTCTATTCCCAGGAATAAGTCATTTATCTGTCTATGTCACATGGGTGGTGCCATCACCACCTATCCTGAAAATGGACTCAAAGGCTGCTTGTGAAAGGGAGTCTCTCAAGAGCAAGGCACAGTTTGAAATACCACGCTTTTACACAATTTGGAGTATCTTAGAGCAGGGCACAGCCTGATCTCAACTCTCTAAGTCTCGGTTTCTTGTGTTGTATGGTAAAGATAATCACATCTTTTCACATGCAGTTTTGCAAAACAAGCATTCCAAGGACACAGAAAGTATCCATAGTCTTTGAAAGGCAGCCTTCTCCTGACATCTTTCCTTTCTCTATTAGCTAGAAAAGATGCCAGTGGTCTGACTGTGGGCTGAGGGCTGGATAAGGAGCATGGGCATGCTCTTCTGATGACTTGATGTTGAGCTTTTAACCCAATCACATTATTCTCTGAATAAATTTTTGTCACAGCTATTTTATTCTATACCTTGTTAACCAAAAGACCCAATCAAGTATTTGTCCCAAAACTTGTACTAGGTTTGAAAATGTAGCTTTGTACTCATCATATGAGCCTAAATAACTATCTTCTTTCTGGTCTGTGGGTCATTTCTTTCAGCAGACAATAAACTATGTTCTGGGTACTCTCCCTACTTCATCTGAATCCCACAAGTACTCTATGTGGACACTACTGTTATCATTGCTATTCTCATTTTGTAGAGAAGTAAATGAGTTGCCCAGGATCATTTAGACAGAAATGAAAATGCTGAGCAATGAAACCAGGACTGACAGTCTAGAGTGTTCTATTGCTGAAGAGGAGTTCCAGCCTAACATATAGTACCTGGTCTCAAGTTCTTTGCTGCCTAGCTGAGAAACAGTGTCAGACAAAATGACCCAGCAATTTTCTGCTACCGTAATATTACCTAAAGAATTAAATTATATCAAGAAAAAAAAGCCGAGTGTTGGTGGCGCACGCTTTTAATCCCAGCACTTGGGAAGCAGAGGCAGGCAAATCTCTGTGAGTTCAAGGCCAGCCTGGTCTATAGAGCAAGTTCCAGATCAGCCTCCAAAACAATACAGAGAAACCCTGTCTCGGAAAAAAAAATTAAATTATAGTCAGATTTTCTTTGGACTACCAACTCCCAAATAATGACATGGGGACTTATTAATTATGAAAGCTTGTTACCAACTAGCTCTTATAATTTAAATTAATCCATTTATGTTAATCTACATTCTGTCACATGTCTTGTTACCTCTCCTCCATACTATACATCCAGCTTCCCCTGTGTCTTGCTGGTGAATTCACTGTGCCAGATTGTAACCTTATCTCTATTGTAACCCTATTGTTCCTATCTCTACCTGGAAGTCCTGCCTATCCTCTCCTGCTTAGCTATTGGCTATACAGCTATTTTCTAAACCAATAAGAAGGTGCCTTGGCAGAGACACATCTTTACAGTGTACAAAAAGATGATCCCACAATATGCACTGGTCATAGATGAGTTTTCTGTGGGTGAACCTTGTAAAGTCTTCGAAGGTCAGAGAATCCCAGTTCCTTAGAGAAAACCATAGTAGCAGTAGTGATATAGTAATGATAACAATTTCTACCTAAGAAATCTCTCCAATATAACTGATACTGTGTAATGCAATGCAAATACCAACTCTTTAAGGTAAAAAAAATTAAATCCATGCATTAACAATATGAAAATGGACTACCCAGCATCACACCAGAGGCTAAGATTTTAGTTGGGGCCTCTGTGATTCTGAAGCCTGTGTCTTTTCTGATGACCCACAGGAATCAAAATCTTAGAAGTAGTGTTAGGTTTGGCTTCACTAGAAGCTGATGAGGACCAGTCGTGATTATGATTGAAAGGCAAATTGGCCCACAAAGAAGACAGCAGACAGTCACATTTGAGGAACTGGAAAAGATACAGAGAAGTTCAGCTGGGCAAATTTGAAAAAAGATTCAACTAGTACTCTTCTAGTGTTTACTGAATGATCTCTAGATACAGTATCCTTGGAAGGTACCTAAAAAATCAGTAGTCTTAAGACTATTTCATGGCTTCTGTCTTTTATTTGGGAGAGATGTCACATTTCTGTGCTTTAGAAGCAGCTTAAACATATATATACTAATTTCTGAGGACCTATGAAGATAAATTTCAAATCCTGAAAGCCATGTCCTTGTAAGAAATTAAAGGAGGTATAGGCCTTAGTCAGAAACTTACTGACACATTGACAAACTGCCTTCTAAATACTCATATTTTCATCTCAATTCAGTCAAAAAAAATTCTTTTTGCTGGGGGCAGTATTCAATGCAGAGACTCATATCCATTCAAAGCACTGAGAATAAGTGCTAAGCCCTAATGTCCTGTCTATATCAACTACTGCCAAATCCCTCCCCAAGGCTGAAGGGGCATTGTGGAAGATAAATCAGAAAGAATGTGAGACCTGGAGGGTGGGAATGTGTGCTGTGAAGTCCTGCCTTTAGAACATGTCATGGCCATTGCACTCATAAACCAAAGTACCTTTAACTACCTACACAAGAACTGAAGATCAAGTCAATCAATATTTCAGCATGGATGAAGAAGGGTTTGAGAATGTCATCACAACTATCTGAATATCTACTAGTAGTTGATTGTGGCTGAGGTAAAATAGTAATTTTTCTTCGAGATTATGACCATGCACCAGCAGATCATCCCACACCCATGAGTATATGGTCAGCATTAGCTTCGTGAAGAAGGATGTAATAAAAACAGATATGGAGTTAGCTTGGATTGTGTCAGAGGGCTTCAGGGAGAGCTGGAGGGGAAATGGAGTGGAGCATTGGTATGAACATAAT